TGGACAGGAAGTTGAAGTTGCAATCACATGAGGTCCTCACTTAAATGACCCACAGTGATTCACTTAATAAGGGCAACTAGGGACTGGTGGAACTACCATAACTAAGCAGCATAGTCATGTAACAAATGAAACAAAACATTAAAAAGTTATGATATTTATGTACTTACCAAGCACCTCTAAATTATATTAAAGTAACCAAAATATATTTACAATCCCAAGGCATGTCACAACTTTTGAGCTCCCCTAATATTTGGAATTTGAAAGTTGACAAATCTGACACGCCCTAAAATTGTAACATAACACTTTACAGTTATTTAGCGACAGAAATTCCAGTTCCAATTACCATTGTTGAGCAAGAATTAGCTCTAATTCTTAAACAATATATTAATTACTGACTAATTAAAAATTAATTGAAAACCTAATTCAATATTCCTTTTTCTTTTCTATACTGTGAATATCATGTCACAATAATACTAGTTCTTCATTATTGTGGTCTCTGTGCAAAAGGCATAGGTGTTCTGCATTTGCACTGAAACTCTATCTGGAACCTTCTTTAACTGAGATTTTAGCAAGAAGTGAATCCATACAGTTCATGCTCCTAGGCCAAAGGTAACAAAAATTTGTCCACCAATCCCTCTCAGGGGGCCCAAAGCACTCCTAATTGGGTAAACATAGCCAGAACTAAGAAATTTTGCTTCCTCCCCTTCCCTTTTGGAATTTAAGGGAAACAAGGAGCAAATGGAAAGAACATCATTATTTAAATGGAGTAATAAGCTTCACTGATACAAGCTATTTCTTTTCAGAGAAAATCAAATCAAATGTTACTATTACTGTTATTGCTACTGTGCTTTTTCCTTTCTATCTTGACATCAGTAAGTCAAGCCAACTGCTAGTGTCTAAGCTGACAAAAACTACCTATGCTAAGGGATAAAATAGCCCTAAGCAAGACAGTATTGGCTGATCCTTTTTACCAGTTCCATTTGCCACTGTAGATCATTTCAAGGGTACAGAACCTCGCTAGGCTTGAAGTAGTCCTTTTGGATAAAATTAGGTGGTCATCTGAACAAATCACCCATTATAAACCTGACAATCTTTGCCCTAACACAGCCATCTGTTCAAGATGTAGCTACATTCAGAAAGCCTAATCCCCAGAACGCCATCTGTCTTATTTTGTGGTACCAACTGAATTAGATTTATTTCATAGAATCTCCACTGATTCTTTGTATGTTGCCTATGCTCAAAGCCCTTGGTTTCACAGCCAGCTTTTCAGGCTGACACTCTGAAATGTTTGTTCATCTGAAGCTTATATACATAGGACAACATCAGTCCTATCAGACTTTTTCCATTGAGCTAAGGATTTGCAACAAATCCAGCTTCCAAAGAAATAAAGTTGGATTCCAAGTGATCAAGCATGCTAAGTTTTCTCTCAGAGAAAATAGTTTCTTTTCTCTCTTATTTAGCATACCACAAAAAGGAGCTAGGTATCATTTTACTCTCAGAGACTTTGCAGCTTTCCAAGCAACAAATAAGTATTGATAAGTACTGCACGTCTTGACTGCGTCTCTACATTCTTGATAGAGATTATTCAACTTTGAATCTGTACTTGGCTATCACAGAGTTTTCACAGGAGGTTCAAAACTGACTAGAAGGCCTAGTGTGCCAGGACACACAGCATATTACCAAGGATTTAAAAACATATTTTTAACATATATTTTAACATAATGATTATATCAGATGATACTCTCATTTCAGGCTGCCTCAATTTCTAAAGCCTTACAGACTATTACATTGGATGTTTCAGTATTGACTAGAGTGACTAATTATCCAACAGCAGGGACCATGCAAAGATGTGTCACACTCTCCTGCCAGTCAAACAATGCTGATTGTTATTTTGTAGGAAAAAACTCCAGTTCTAATCAAGCCTTCTACCATCCCATCAAGACTAATTTTTATTACTTGGTAGCAAAGCCAAAAAGAGAGAAACAATACTACATCTTTATGGTCTCCAGATAAATTCAAGCTTTAAAATTTAGGCAAATGAGTTTGTAAAACAATTTTCACCTTTCCTATCTAAGGGATTTATTTGCATTGTAGATCATAGATATAATAAAGATGTTTGCTTCCATCTAGTCTTTCACTCATATCGCTAGAAGTATTTGCTTTACACTGCGGAGCACGTCTCTCCAGTTTCAGATGCTCTCCAGCAAATGCAGAGTGGTGGCACATCTCCACTTCTTGGGCATTCAAATTTACATTGATCACTGGCTTATAGCTTCATCACCTCATCTATTATTAAACAAACAAATAGGTCCAATGTACTCAGTGAAAATAGACTGGTTTATACAGTTTATACAGCAAAGCCTTTCTGATCCCTTCTTTAATTTGACAGTATATATTGGCATCCAGTTGGATTATCAGGTAGTATGCACTTTCTAGAGTCACCACTAAGCCATTTTCTTTTATCTTTTATTCATAGCATAGGTCAACATTCTCAGATTTGGCTTCTGCTATTCAGTGCTTACTCAGATTCATGGTATCAACCATATTGGTTGTATAGCATACTAGACTTTGGAAGCAAATACTGAGAAGGTTTGTACATTGTTTTTTAAAGCAAAGTATCTGTTCTATTATGATGAAAGCTCTCTCCCAAATATCATTAGTTTTCAGCCAACTGTCTCCATCCTACTCCAGTGAACGAAGTTCAGTTGATAGGGAAACACCTAGAATAAAATTATTTACAATAGCTCTGAATGTTTACTGTGATTGCCATTGTAGTCAAGGGAAAATGTCTTTTTTTAGAGATGGGATGAAATCCTACCTTTATTGAATTCTAAAGATCATCACAATTATCTTTTGATGTACTTCACTAAAATGTTTTCAGATTCTAGCAACAAAAAGATCCTCTGGCTTTTGTTTCTTTCACTATTAAATTTATTTCAGGGTCTCTATCTTCAACTCTTACAATTACATTTTCTCTTGATTTTGAATATGGGAAGATGCATGATCCCTGTGTTTGTTATCTTCATTTGGGAGTCTTCTATGAACAAGACATTAAAAGGATGTGATGGATTTTCTTGTAAACATGACTTTTTAAACACTTCTTACATGTCAGAAATGGCCTAATGCTTCATCTTATGTCTCCCAGAGAGTCAGTGTCACGATGGAATTTTTCCATCATACATTTCTAATTCACAAGGAAGCCGTTCAGCCATTAGCCACCATACATCAATATCTCCTTAAATTAGGTTTCTTTGTAATGATTATGTTAGCTTAGTCATGAGTTGTATGTTCTTAAAGCAGATTCCCTTCATTTCTGTAATTACATCTTGATCAGATGATACTACAAATGGACTGGATTTTCTTTTCCAAAGGTGAGTTGGAGTTACCTTTTAAATAAGCTATTAATGCACTCTTATTGCAATCTTCTCTCCATCCCAAGAGCATTCTTCTTTCACTAGATATGCAGTAATCTATGACATTTTGTTTAGATAGCATCAAGGAGTTCCATTCTTCTCTGCCTTTAATTTTTTCTTTACGATATTATGCAATCTGGTATAAACGCCTCATTGCTTTATATTGGTTGGTTTATCTCATACCATCTGCTGCTTCACTATGATGTGAGAAATGCCAACATCAATTTATAGAGTTCTTTTTGTGGGATTTGGTTGGACCTCTATAAAGAAACTATTTGGTCCGAACAGTTGACATTTGTAAGATGCTACCAAGTAGACCTTTGGCAAGAGTAAATGCCAGTTGTGGCAAAGCAGAATTATCCTCTACTCTAAACTGTAGCACTTGACCCACAGCCTTCAAGATTCTCTTACTTATTATCCATATATGGGGTGCCCAGAGACTATGATGAAGAATAGATTGCTTAACTGTAACTATAGTTCTTTGTCTTGTCATCCATGCCACAATTTACTGAGCCACAATTTTCCTTGCTACAGGTGCCTGCCTTGGTAGGTATTCCTGATTTCTGAACTGAAATGACAGTCTCTTGAGAACTGAGGGAAATGCAGGAGTTTCTTCTAGGAGCATGCACAGTAGGGATACACTTTCTGCCAGAAATCCAACCTACAGAAGATTTCTGGTTGAGCATGATGCAGGCACAGAACCCATGTATTTGTTGGACAGATGATCACTCAAACAACCATAGTTACAGGTAAGCAGCTAAAATTCATGTCGCCATTCATTTTTATAGTTGACTTTTGAATGTTTGGTGAAAAATGGACAAAAAGATATTTTCATAAGCATCCTGTATTCCTTCTGTCAAAATTTACACTAGTGTTTGTGTGTGTGTGTCTCTGTGTATGTCATTGCCAATTAGGATCCCATGAAAAATTCTGAAGTTTTCAAATAGTTTTTAATTGTCATTTATAAAATACCTATTTTATATTTTAAATAATATGGAAATAATGTATAACAGGGAAGATGAAAAAGTAAATAGAGACCAGAATGAGGAAAAGGTTTGGGAGAAAAAATTAGGTAAATTAATAACATAAAATACTAAAAGCAGAAAGCAGAGTCACTGTACTGATAATGCAATGCTTAACTTCAATTTATTGTATAAGTCACAGATATTTGGATTTATATATCACACATTAAATCATACCCCAAATTATAGAAAGCCAATGGCTAGATTCATGCAACAACTTAAGCAAAAGCATACAAATTAATTCATGTGCACTGTAAAACTATTCATTCTCTTTTTGGAGAGTTATAATATTTATATTTTAACATGATAAAGTAGGAGAAGTTGTTTTCTTGCATAGCTATTGGAAATAAGAAATAATATAAAGGAACAAACTTAGTCAGATTCCACAGTCGACCAAACATGAAGCACTCTGAATTCCATGACTTCAATGCAAGAAATGTTAATTGTGTTCAGAGTTTATTGGTATTGATGGGTCTTCAGAGTAAATATCTATATGGTTAGATGGTGCTTGATTTCATCATGTTCTGCACATACCTATAATGTGTTCATAGTATAAATATCCTACTCTTTATATTCAATTAATCTGCCTCTTTTTTATCCAGGTCAAGGATTTGATCGCCACTTATTTGCTTTGAAGTACCTTGTTCAGCGCAGAGGTGGAACTATTCCTGATATTTATACAGATCCAGCCTATAAAAACATAAATCACATTAACATTTCAACCAGTACACTAAGCACTCCAGCAATTAATCATGGTGGATTTGGACCAGTAGTGCCAAATGGTTTTGGGATTGGATATAATATGTTTGATACCTGGATAGGATGCCTCATTACTAGCTATTTGGAACAGGAGTTAAATGAACATCTGACATGTCTTCGGAGCACACTAGATGATATATTTGAAGTCTTAGAAGAAAGACAACTTAAATAGCATTAACATATTTTGAACTGACTATATAACAATTCAAAAACAGCTGATGTTTAAATAATGCATATATTACTATGAAGAGTAATAGTAGATTAAGTTGCACAACAAAGCTGTTCAAAATGAACACTTTAAATCTTAAAGCAGTTTTAATGACATAATACTTAAATCTTTGTTCATTATATTCTGTAACTTTTCTTTTTTAACAAAAATTAAAAATATACCAATATTTTCAATTAATTTTATTGATTTTCTAGAGCTCTACATGCCTAATAAATCAACATTTGCTAAAGAGTATAAAAAGTTGAAATTCCAAAAACCAGCAAAAGTAAACTGCTATGTAAATTATTTATTAGATGTATTTTTATTTGAAAAAGCCAATGTACAATGATTTTAAAAAATAAAATATTGAGGTGACATGGAAAGCCGTGCAAATATGTTTTTTCATGTGAAAAGATGATATTAAAATAAAGTGATTTTTTCCTTTTATATTTGCTTGCTGAAATTACTTCATCTAAATGAGAATAATCAGATATAGTATTGGTGTATTATATAACGCAGTGTGCTATACCAGTCATTAATGAGTGTTATTATTTTTGTAACATTGAAAATCTCCAGATACTTTTTCTATTTGCCCTTCAGATCTAAGATATTTAATGTATAGCTCAGAATTATATGAGCTTTTCAACTATATATTTCTCTGAAAATAACATGTATTTCAAACTTTTATTACAATATTATTAGTTATTACAATAACTAATCTTCATATAATGTAATGCTTGAGAGTCTGTAATCTCATGTGAAGACAATCACAAATAGAGGATACAACGAAGAAATGTAGGAAAGAATTAATTATGAAAATATATTTTGGGTGATTCTAAAATCAAAATATTTTTATACAAAATGGGATGGAAATCAGGAAATCTTCAGTCTGATCTTGAGAAATCTTGAGAAATAGAAGCTTGCATTTTAAAATTCGAGAGTATGAAATTTGGAGCATTTATTTGTCCTGAATTTTGTATAACCCAGAAATCTTGCATCCCAATCCCCACTGGTTTGAAATTTAGGTTTGACTCTGCTAATGATTATAAATCTGCTGAGATTGTCCCAGTTTTCAGGTTATCTCATACATTCCTTCATTCCAGTATATTGGAACTATTTGAAAGTCCTGTCTGTTAAAATGAGGCTAATTTGGTATACATGAGACACACTGATTGCCCCAGGTTGCACTGTGTTTGAGAGGTACATTATGTTCTCATAAAGGTCTCTTGCCTTGAAGGGAGAGATATGCATATGTATGGGATGCTGTCATTTGTAGCTTGAACCATCCATTTGATTGGAAGACACCATCCTCTAACTTAAGTAGTAGTAGCAAGCATCAAAAAAATGGCTCTTAGGCCAATTGGCTGGATATGTGGGGAGATTGTCAGGAAATTTGCTGGACAAGGTATGACATCTAAGAATATTTTCATCTTAAATTTTCAAATGTTTAAAAGAAATCCATCTTCTACCAAATACACACATTCACAAATACATAATTGTTGGATTTGGCTAAGATAACCAAACTCGAAGAGAAATGTCATTGAGCGAGAAATTTCAGTAAACTGCCTCTATGTTTAAAAATATGTGAGATATGAGCTAAGTCCCACAATATTTTTCCTTACAGAAATTTCTGAAATCTAATTCCCTCCAGTTGCCCTTGCAATTTTAGTTAACAGTAAAGGAAGTTAGTAATGAAGTTCCATAGTCCCGTCAAAGAATCAACCTCCTGAAAACAGTTAGGAGGCATACCTGGTCAACCTGACTAAAAATTGACTATAAATAAAGTTTATACGTATAAGAAGTTGTCCTTAAGCCATACCACCATTTAACCAACTCTTGATGGCAACAGGTTTTTTTATTTCTCCAAATTACTGCTAATCAAGATTCTTAAAAGAGAGAATCTCTTTAAGAGGGAGAATCATAGAATCTTAAGGTTGGAGGGGTCCTTCTAGGGCCCCCCAAAATGGGAATAGACTTTCCTGGGGCTGAGTCACTGTACAATGAAGAAAAAAAGGAAGGAATATTGGTACTGGGCAGTCACCATATAGTCTTCAGAATATGGTTCAGATTGGGAAGGATCTTGTGTTCATGAATGTGGCCTAACAAAATCTGAAGGGCATTTTGGTTTTCAAATGCCAGTTTAGCAAAATAACATGGGTTTCCCACTACAGTAATCAAATATTGATACCAACTCAGTCCTTAGCCCTACTATTATATCTCATTTAACCCATTTTTTTTTTACAAATATACAACACTTCATATTTGAAATCTAATTTTGAAGATCAGGATTTTATTATTTTAATTATTGTATTTCAATTCAGCTGGGGTTATACAGAGAGCCATCTTGGAAATTGTAGATGAGATTAGGGACGAATTTCCAAATCTATTGAGGCTGACACGCTCAAACCAGGTAATATTTCTTAATTACTGCATTTCCTCACTATCTGAATGTTTCAGAAGGTGCTTTGTTACATTGTATTTTCTTTCCATTTTGCAAAGTCTCAGCTTACATTACAGTGAAAAATTTACCATATGATAGTAAAGATATTCAGTTCACTAAATACATTTTAAAAGCTGTTACAATACTGCATATGTCATATTTAGTTTAACTTTCTTTAGTATGAGTCACCATAAGTTACAGTGTCATATAAGAAATAAGTATGATTAAAAGCAGCAAAAAATATATTTTAATTATTCATGATGCAGGTATCCATGTTGTACCTTTATATCATACTAAAAATGTACATATATAATTTATACTAGAATAAAGGTGATCTTGAATTTATCTCTGTCACAGTGGCCAACTTGTAAAATAGCTTGCAGAAGAGATAGAAATGAGGGAAGTAGGTAATTGTCTCCTTATTCTCCCCTATCTCCTTGCAACATTTTTTATCAGTCATGTTGGTTTGGATGGTTGCTGCAACTATGTTTTAACAGAACAGAATGGATGGGGTTTTGTATTATGAATTTCCTGTGAAATAAAACACTTGACAATTGGTGACCAATTTTCACTAAGCAATTATCACGCTGGCTCAAGATGAGATCTATGCAAAAGTATGCGGCAGGGAATCAAGTTGAAGAATGATGTTTTAGCATATGACAGTATTTATTATTAGTGTGTAATACAATTGTGAAATTGCTTTCATTTTCATAAAACAATATGATAAATGTAACAGCGTACAATGCTGAATATAACAGGCACATTCATCCACTAACATTGGGCCACCAGGTAGACAACCAGACTTTAGGCTTAAAGTTCTTCAAACTCTATTATCAATTTATGGTTCAGTATGTTTTTCAAACAAAGTAACTGGCTCGGACAACCCACAGTTAGCTGTAGTTAGGCAGGTAACATGAATGGAGTTGCTCAATTGCAAGGTTGAAAACTGTTGTTGCAAGTAATAAATTTTAGTCAAAATATCTGCTTTACCTTGTAAAGTTTAACTAATGTTGATGTTAGTCATACAATAGAAGGACATGGATCTGTTTATCCCTTTATAAAGAATATCATAATAATGTTTATCATAAAAGCATTGCCAAAACCCAAATGCAGGAGAGCTTGTAAAGTTGGAGCTACCAGACCTGGGCCGCAAAGACCCACAGGATTACTAAATGTCAGTAAAAATAAAGAAACTCTTAACTGAAGGTGTTGCTTAGTTGGATAATGAAATATCTGTAAGCAAACAACCAAGCTTAGAAAGTACCAGGAACTGCACAAACCACCCTAACCCTTTGCTGCCATCTAGCCTTTTGCACCTCCAGTCTGGTATATCTACCCAATGATTTCTAAAATAAAATTGAAGTAATGCAATCAGATAAATATGTCAACATTTGAAGAAAGATTGTGTTAGCTTTACTGAAAATAGGAGAATGATCTGAAGATTACAGATCTTTTGTTTTTGATATATCAGGATGTTTTTGTTTTAAAGTATTTAGTGATGTTGTGCTGACACTGAAGCGAGGGCTTCAGCTATGACTTTTGAAAAAACTTCATCTTACAGACTCCTTTGATTCCTCAGACATTTGTCTGCAAAACTGGGGTAAGCCCTCAGGAGCAGTGGGCTGCAAGGAGCATTGTACGAAAATAATCTCCTCCTCCTCTTCCTCCTGCTCCTCCTCCTTTCACTGAGCAAGCCCTTCTGGCCATAGAACAGCCAGCCTATGATGGAGTGTAGTCTGGATTCTCACGAGGGGGAGCTGCATTCCAGAAAACCAAGAGATAGCAAAATTTAGATAGTCTGCTTGGGAGAATGAGAGTCAAGATAGCTCCTCCCTAGAACTTCTCAGAGTATGCCTTTCATGATTCAAGCCATTGCTTTAGTTTGGAAAGATGTCTGACTATAGGTAAGGAAGAATATTTCCCCAATAGAGAAAACTGCTTAAAAGTATCTCTACTTGTCTTTATTTGGGGGGGGGGGGGGCTGACATAGCCTGGATTCCACCATTTATATATATTAAAGGAAGATCATATTCATATTTTTAAAGAAGAAAACCTTCCAGACAGTGGGTGCGCTCATCAAATTTATTGAAAGGTGGAACTGATTTATGAATCACTAGAACATGAATTATTAATATCATTTCAGTAGATATGTGCTTGTCTTGCATTCACTGCTTTAATTTTTTAGTGGTTTATATTATACTTTTATTTAGAGACAAAACAAAATAATTTATATTTTTATGAATGTTTGATTTGTATCTGTGCTTTCACATCCTTTTTAACAGT